ACTCACCTCAGCCTCCCAAAGGCGCGGGATTACAGGCTGAGCCACCGAGCCCGGCGGCTGGCGGTTCTTGAGAGGAGAAAGGAGACTCTGAGATGGGTCAGACCTGTGCGAGAGCCTTGCCGGGCCACTCCCACCTCACCTCCCCGTTCACAGAGATGTCTCTTGCCTTCTTAATTAATAAGAGTCACTTGCATCAACTATACAACATCTGTATGTACACACCATCAGCAGTTTGATTCAGGATAGTCTGGGACATCTCTCCTGAAGACTCTTACACATGCCAGACATTGCTTTAAAAGCCTTATGTATATAAAATCATTTTATCTCATAACGTTTTTATGATATTAATATTATTATTCCACTGTGCAGATGGGGACACTGAGGCACAGAGTTACATAATTTGCCCAAGGTCAGTGGCTTATAAGTAGTAGATCTAATCTTTGAATTCAACCATTTGGTTTCAGACTCCATGCTCTCAACTACTGAACGATGCTAACTTTCTTGGGAACAGAGATTATGTTCCAAGTGTGTTGGGACCAAAAACAAGAGGATACTATTTAAATTCCAAGAAGCCATCCTGGCATTTGGAGGGGGGTTAGGCAGGATTCCTTGACTGAGGGTAACTGTTCTGGTTTGGGAAAAAAACCCAGCAGTGGGCTTGGGAAGGAGGAAAGCCACACTTCTTTGCAGGATAATATACAAGGCTGAATTCATCGAGAGTTAGGACTGAGTGAATGTTGGGATGCGTGGCTGGGAATTTGCTGGGAGGCTAATTGGTTTGGCTTCTGCTGCTCAAAGCAGGGAGTGGGGCACTGGGACAAGAGCTTCACCAAATCCTCTGGAAGGGGATTGACTTTGTTGAGGCTGGCTAGGGAGACCTGGCTGAGCTTTGAATTGGGTTTTAAAAAGTGACCCTGAAGTCTGGGAAACTTAGGGACATTTGAGTATTTTTTCCTTAATTTTATTTGAAAACAGTTATAGATTCACGGGCAGTTGCACAGATACTCAGTTTTGATGTATAATACCTAAAATATGGTACAAGCTGTTACCACAATCTACATTCTAGTAAGAGCACCCAGACATTTCAAAAACCCTGCAAGCACTCATCCAATCAGAAGCCAGCAATACCTTGGCCACGCCCTGGCCACACCCAATGCAATGCTTGAAGATGTCACGCTCAGAAGTCTAAGTGGGAAACATGGTTGACCTGGCAGCGCGTCCATTGCATGTGTCAATTAAAAACATGAATTACTGGTGCTTAGTGAGGAAGAATAAAATAATTTGACTAACCTCATGACAAAAATATTTACTAGTAGAGAGTTTGACAAGGTATAGGTATAAGGTAAAGCTAAGTATTATACTATGTGTGTGTGTGTATATACATATATACACACATATATATAATAAATCTAACATTTACTGAGCATTTGCTATGTCCCAGGCACTATTCAAAATGCATCACATACACAATCCCTGCTAATCCTTATAGTAAGTCTCTTCGAAGTAGGAAACTTTATATTCCCATTTTCACACAGCTATTCAGAGAGTCATAATTCACAGTCAGGTCTGATTGATTTTAGAGTTCAAATTCTTACTTCTTGTCTCTGGAGAACTTTGGAAGGATGACCTTGCCTTGGGGTCAAAGCCTAAGGTCATGCTCAATCCAGAGCTGCCCCTTCCCCAGAGGGTCTGACTTTTTCAGGCTTGCTCGGGAAAGGGTAGTGGGCGGGGCCAGGAGGGGTGCGCCCCAGCAGGGGGCGGAGCCCTGGAGGAGAGGGCCGGCTGCCTACCTCGGAAGCAGAATGCGTGGTGCCGGGACAGCGGGTCCAGGAGGCCGGTCTGATTGGGGTAGAGGTAGACGGTTCTCACGCCTGGCTTGTCCCCGCCACAGGAGGGCCGCGGGGCGACGATGGGGTAGCGGAGGCTGCCGTCGGCCAGCCAGCCGGCGTAGCACTTGTCCAGGCCGCGGCTCCAGGCGGCGTAGAGCTGGCCCGTGGAGGCCAGCGTGGCGTTCTGGGATTCACAGAACTGCAGTGCTTCCTGGAAGGTGAACTGCTCGGGGCGTGTGGCGAAGAACACCTCCCCTGGGGGCAGAGGAGGGGGTGGGGTGACCCTCCATGCCCATGGCCAGAGCACTCTTGCTCACACAGGGGCAGAGCTCCCCTGCCCCCACCTCTCCTCGCCAGGCTTCCACACTCGCCCTGGAGCACACTGGGTTAAGCCCAGCCCCCTATCTCAGTCGGGCTCCTTCTTCGACCACTCCCCCTTAGATCTGGGTCAGGGGAAACAGATGACTAAGTGCTCTTGTTTGCTCTGGACTGGGGCTTCCTGGGACCCGGGACCCAGTGGTAAAAAATGCACTGTTTACATAGGAGCTAGGATGAGCTGGCCATTCACAGGGAAACAATTTTCCCTCCTTTCTGATTTATCACGGAGGCATCTGCTCCTGTGGCCAAGACAGGCGGGTGGCCTTGGCACCCTCCACTCTCCAGGTTACCCCTGGCACTTAGCACCGTGACTACTGTGACAGCTGTGGACCTGCCCACATACACTGAGGTGCCTATCCAGCTTGGGGGAAAGAAGCTCACGTTTATCGGACACCTACCTGGGCCAGGTACTTTTCATGTGTTTCTCATTTAATACTCGAAAACGCCTCTGATGTGGGTATAAATCAGCCCCATTTTTTAGATGAGGAAACTGAGCCCTAGAAAGGTTAAATGACTTGGCCAGGGTCCCAAAACAAGTGAGTGGGAAGCTGAAATCTTCCCAGAACACCAGCCTTTCCTAACTTGGGATCAGTGGAATAGGAATTTGGTAATTTTCATTCAGAGTAAAATCAATCAATCAATCAAAATAAAGATCTGTGATTAAATAAGCTTTGGCAATGCTTGCGCATTGTTGGTTAAATAGCGTTAAAGAGGTTTGTTCTCTTTTCCTTCTTTTTTTTTCCTGCAGGACTTCTTAGAGCCTTTGATTTGTTCACAGGTATTGGGACTCTCCAAGAGGCAGATAGAGTATATAACATTTATTTATTTATTTATTTAGAGTCTCACTCTGTCGCCTGGGCTGGAGTGCAGTGGCACACTCATGGCCCCCACATCCTCTACCTGCTGGGCTCAGATGAGCCTTCCGCCTCATCCTTACAAGTAACTGGAACCACAGGCGTATGCCACCATGCCCGGCTAATTTTTTGACTTAAAGTAAAGACGAGGTCTCACCGAGTTGTCCAGGCTGGTCTCAAACCCCTGGGTTCAGGCAATCGTCTTGCCTCTGCCTCCCAAAGTGCTGGGATTACAGGCATGAGCCACCACACCCAGCAACATTTACTTATAATAAGTTGACTTATTTACCCACAGAACTCATTGCTTTGTTAAGGCATCTGCTCACCGGCAGTGCTGAGGGAACCACATGAACTGCCTAGGAGGGAGAGAGGGGCTTCATCTGAGAGAGAGGGCTGGATGGACCTTCTTTTTTTTTTTTGAGGTCTCACTCTGTTGCCCAGGCTGGAGAGCAGTGGCTCAGTCACCACAGTCTTGACCTTCTGGACTCATATGATCCTCTCACTTCAGCCTCCTCCTGAGTAGCTGGGACTATAGAAACCTGTCACCATGACTAGCTAATTTTTCTACTTTTTGTAGAGATGAGGTCTCACTATGTTGCCCAGGCTGGTCTTGGACTCCCGGGTCCAAGCAATCCTCCCGCCTTGGCCTCCCAAACTGCTGGGATTACAAGTGTGAGCTGTAACACCTGGCTGGGCCTTCTTTTGTAAACAGGATGCTTTTTCCACTTGGAAAGCTAGGTGGGAATGGGTTGGAGGGTGGTAATTCTCCCTCTTCCTTGTGTCCCCCTACCCATCTAGGGCCCGAAAAATGAGAATGTAGCCCATACCCTCAAGTCTGTCCACATAGCAGTAGACATCATAGGTCTCTGATGATGGGCGCACGCCGTAGGTCCTGACCCCCGGGCTGCTGTCCTTGTCACCCACACATGGGGTCCGTGGGCTTACGATGGGGTATCTGCAGAGGAGGATGGGAGGGCAAGATAAGGACCTGTTCTGGAGGCTGGAGGATGCAGGGCCCCAGGATGAAGATGGAGACTACTCAGAGCCTTGGGCCAGCGTGTCTTCGGTTGTCTGATGAGATTCAAGCCAAAGTAGTCCCTCATGCAGTGAATTCCCTCAGCAGCTGAGGGCAGGGTCTAGGAGTCCCTGGGGGATCCCTGGCTTCAGAATAGCACTGCTGCATGGAAGGGCACTGGGTCAAGCTGGAGGGGGACGGTGAGGGGGGCTTGAGGAGGACACCCGGCTCGCCCTTCACCTGACGGTCTGGTCCTGCAGCCAGCCAGCGTCACACTGCTCGTAGCCCGCTTCGTAGGCGGCCTGGAGCTGCTCAGGCGAGGCCATGACCGCCCCGGTGTGCAGGCAGGCCTGTTGCGCCTCGTCGAAGGTCAGCGCGTAGCGGGCAGATCCCGGGCGGTAGTGGAACACGACCCCTGTGTGAGGAGGAGAGGGTGAGAAGGAGGGAGAGTCAGGTCCGGGGCCCATGGTGCCCGGTTCTCAAGGCTCCATGGGCATGGAGGGGACCCAGCTCCTTCTGTCTGGCATATTGGATCTATCTGAGCCGAGGTCAGAATCCTCTGGGTGGCTTTGTGAGTATGATGGTGGGTGGTCATCTCTTCCTCCCCTGAGGAGCGGACACCACCAAGGCCTTTGTGGAGACCACACCAGAATGTCCTTCTTGTTCAAGGACTTGAGTTTGGGGAGAATCTGGGCTGTATGCTGTGTAACGCCCCCAGTCATTTATCAAGCACCAGGACTGCCATCATCCTAGAACAGGGTTAGAAGCGTTTTCTGGAATATTTGCCAGGTAGCAAATATTTTGGGTTTTGTAAACTATATGGTTTCTGTTACAACTTGTTGTCCTTCGGTAATCAGGACCCGCTCGGATACCAAAATGCTTGGATGCTCAAGTCCCGGTGTAGTATTTGCATATAATTTATGTACATCCTCCCAGCTACTTTTTTTTTAGGACAGGGCTTCATTCTGTCACCCAGACTGGAATGCAGTAGCACAATCATGGCTCAACACAGCCTTGACTTCCTGGGCTCCAGGCCGCCTACGAAGCAGGCTACGAGCAGTGTGGCACCGACTGGCTACAGGACCAGACCGTCAGGTGAAGGGCGAGCCGGGTGTTCTCCTCAAGCCTCCCTCCCACTGCCCCCGTCTTGCTTCAGACTCCTGAGAAGCTGGGACTACAGGAGCACACCACCATGCCCAGCTAATTTTTCTATTTTTTTTTTTTAAAGATGGATGTCTCACTATGGTTGCCTAGGCTGGTCTCGAACTCCTGGTCTCAAGTAATCCTCCCGCCTCAGCCTCCCCAAATGCTAGGAGTCCAGGTGTGAGCCACCATGCCTGGTCTCTCCTAGCTACTTTTAATCTTCTCTAGATTCCTTATAATACTTAATACAACGTAAATACTATGCAAATAGTTGTTATACTGCCTTGTTTTTAAGTCTGTATTGTCTTTTGTTGTATTTTTTTCTTTTGGCTATCTTCCATCCATGATTGATTGAATCTGAGGATGCAGACCCCCCCCGGATACCAAGGGCCAGCTGAACTCAGCTCTGCTATGGTTGTCCTAAGTTTGCCATAGACAACATGTCCACAAATGGGGATGGCTTTGTTCCAATCAAACTTTACTTGTTTGAATTTTACGTAATAGTCATGTGTCACAGGATATTATTTTTCCTTGACTTGTTACCCTCAACTATTTAAGAATGTAAAAACCATTCTTAGCTCCCGGACCATACAGGTACAGCTAAACTTGGCCCACGGGTCAGTTTACCGACCCTTGTTCTGGAAGGTCAGAGCAGTGAGAGAACTCGGGGTCACCTGCTGCAGTGGTTTCCTGGTGATTCTATTTTGTGGGAATGACTGATGGGGTAAGGAGGAGCCCTGAGCAGAAGGAGTTCCTGTTCTCCATTCCACTGAGATCCACGTGGCACCTTTGCCTTGGTATATACACTGGCTTTTACATACTACTTCATCTGAAGAAACTCCTTCGTGGCAAAAGAGTGTGAAAATGACTGGTTTGTCCAGTCCTCTTTGTTTCACAGATGAGGAGAGCAGGGTCTGAGAGGAGAGAGGCTTGTCACAGGGGCGGGTTAAGTTGAGGGTACAGCCAGGGATGATCCCTCACCCATAGGTCAGTTCTCTCTACCTGTCTCCGATGCATCCCCTGAGGGGCAGGTACTCACCCCCTGGCAAGCGTGGCTGCCCAGGGACCTCAGCTGCCCCAGGGACAGCGGTCACCTGCACCACCAGGTCCTCGCTGGTAAAGGCCGTGGCAGGACCCAGGCCAGGTGTGGATTCCTCAGGAAGGCCCCAGGTGCTGGTGGCCTCTCCAGTCCCGTTCTCGGCCTCAGGGAAGGTGGCGGCCTCTCCATCAGGGGCAAACGTGAAGGGCTCCTCGGGCTCCAGGGAAGTGGAGGGTACGTCGAAGATGGGCTTTACGGTGAGGATGACATTGCCTCGGGCTTCACCCTCCGTGATGTTTCGGGGCAGTGGCAGCTCCACGTCAGGCCAGGTCACCGTCTGGATGGCGATGTCCTCCTCACCCCCTACCCCGAAGAAGTTTTCCGGGATGTCCACAAAGTCTTCACCTGGGGCAGGGGCAAAGACAAGCTTTAGCTGCTCAGCCTGGGACTGCTGGCCTGATGGGGGTGGGGAATGGGCTGGAGGTGAGCATCAGACCCTCTCCTTCCCTGCTGGGGCCGGAGGACAACGGCTGTGTGACAGGTGCTTGGTGGGCACATTGCAGGGGTTCTTGGTTACCGGGTTATTCATTAGAGGAGCCCCCAAAGCTTCAAGATTGCAAAAGAATGTGAGTTACCAGTGGGCAAAAAAAAGCAAAAAAAAAGCTGACTGCTTTTATAATAAAAACATAAAATTTTATATATATTTTGAGATGAGGTCTCGCTGTGTTGCCCAGACTTGTCTTGAACTCCTTGGCACAAGCAGTCCTCCTGCCTCAGCGTCTCAAAGGGCTAGGATTACCGGCGTGAGCCACCACACCTGACTGGCAAGTTGACTACTTATAAAGTTTCCACCCCAACATCCCCTCCTGCTCAACGCCTGCCACCACTTCCCCCATCTCATGAGCATCTTGCTGGACGCCTGATAGTTGTAACTATCCAATGGGACCTGGTAAATGAGTTATAAAGAGAAGTCGTACAACCTTGCAGGAGATGTGGTTCATGAAATGGATGAAGGTGACTTGGGAGAACCGCCTGCCTCATAGCCGCGGACAAAGGAAGGTCTTGCGAGAGTGAAACTACTTCCAAAAAGGTAGTTAGACGGTCAAAAGGTTAAGAGAGGCTTTGGGGAGACATTTTCATTATTTTTGTAAAAATAAATAACTCTCTTCCTGTCCTGTAAGGTCAGGCTGTGAAAATGAAACATGAAATGGGCCGTCCTTGTGTTATAAAAAAACAAAAACTGTCATAAAAATTTGACAGCTCTTCATTTATGTTATTCATTGATTTTTTTTCCTCGAAGAATTAACACAACTATAATTATAACCCAAATTGTGTTAGATATAAGACAAAAAACTTATTTAAAGAGTTTAGTCTTATTTTTCAAAATAAAGTTTCTGCCAGACTTTCCACTACTCTTTTTGTTGTGTTCTCTCTTTTTTTTTTTTTTTCCCTCATCTGTTTGCACTCACTGCAGCCTCACCTTCCAGGGCTCAGGCTATTCTTCCACCTCAGCCTCCCAAGTAGCTGAGACTGTAGGCCAGCACCCCCACACCAACTTGCTATGTTGCCCAGATTGGTCTCGAACCCCTGGACTAGAGCAAACCTCCCGCCTCTGCCGCCCAAAGTGCTGGGATTCTAGACATGAGCACCGCGTCCTGCTACCACTAGTCTTTTCAACGGCACGCTGACTCCGTTTTTAAAAGTGCGTTCAATTTAAAAGGGCGGACAACAGCGCCCTCCTGTGGTCGTATGGGTTCATATCAGGCGCCGGCCGTCTTCCAGGCGGTACCAGCATCTGCACGCTAGACAGATGAGGAAACCGAGGCTCAGAGCACAATAGTAGGTGGCGGAGCTGCGATTCAGACCTGAGAAAGCACAGACTCAAAAGCTCATGCTGTTAACCCTCTTCTGTGCTGGTCCGATGAGACAGGGCTGAGTGCCCTGCAGGCTGCAGCGTCTCTCCCTTAGCGCTTCCTACGAACCAGTGAAAATGGGGGTGGGGGTGGGGAGGAGAGACAGCGCTGAAAACCTGGGGTTCGGTTACCCAGCGGCCCTTTCAAGGGGCAAAAACCAACCCTTCCTTTCCAAGATCTTCTTTTCCCCTGGGCCCCCATTTCAGTGGCGCGACCCCTCCCCTCCCGCCTCCAGCCCCTGCCCCACCTGTGTAGCAGATGGCGTCGTAGCGGGAGGAGGGGTCGGGGTAGCCCGTCTGGTTGGCGTGCAGGTAGACGGTCCTCACGCCCAGGAGGTTGCCCCCGCAGTTGGGCCGGGCCTTGGAGATGGGGTAGCGCACGCTGCGGTCGGCCAGCCAGCCGGCGCTGCACACGTCCATGCCGCCCTGCCAGGCCAGGTAGAGCTGGCCCGTGGTGGCCAGCCGGGCGCCCAGCCGCCGGCACTCGTTGGCGGCCTCCTGGAAGGTGAACTTCTCCGGAGACGTGGCATAAAAGACCTCGCCTGTGAAGGACACAGCCGGCAGGGTGAGGGTCTCCCTCTCCCTCCCTGCCCCGTGCCCCCAGAGATCCACGCCCTTCCGCGAGGTCTCGGGAGTTGGAGTTTGGCCTCTGACTTCCTCAGCCCTGGTCTCATGTGTCTGTATCTCTGAATTTGCCCTTCATTGCCTATGTTCCATCTTTTTTTCTTTTCTGGGCTTTTGGGCAGGACGGCATCAATTTCCTAAAGCCGGGGGACCAAGAAGGCAGCAGCTCAAATGATTGGGCAAAGGATAGAGCAAGTGTGAGAGCCGGGAGGCACATTCTTTCGCCCACAAGCATCTTTGCGGCGTTGGCTGTGTAACTTCTCACCGCTAGGGTCTCTCCCAGGGCTTAAGCAGTATTGACAAAATTTAAATTCTCATGGGAAAAGCGGGCATCAGACTTTGACCCCCTGGAGCAGGGGTTCTCAAACTGGGGTCTCTAGGCCCTGTAGAGTCCATAAAAGCATAATTTGGGGCCAGTGAGTCTTAAAAAATATTTCCAAAAACCTAACAAGGTTGTGCCAAGGGCCCAGGTGGGGCTGGCAGCACTGTAGGGAGGTAGCAGTGGCTGCCCCTACTCAGTGGCTGTTCTGTTTGTCTTTGGTTAGCCAAACGTGGGAACACAAATACTTGGCATCTAGTAGAGGAGTTTGGTCCCTGGGGTGAGAGTGAGGCAGGGAGCTATAGTGATGGGAGAGTTGGGGCCTGCCCTGGTCTCAGAATGTGTCGGTTGGTGGGCTTATCTCCCCAGCATGGAGGTGCTGGACCTTGTGGCTGAGGGGTGTGGTGGGGGGGTGGCAGAGTAGGGATGTCTGAAGGGATAACTGGGTCCAGATGGTGGGAAGGGTGTCACTCATGTGCCTAGGCAATTCTGTCGCCAATATTGGTGCCCTTTATGAAACAGAGAAAAGGTCCTGGATTCCCCCCCGCAGCCCCTGACGCTCTTCAGAACTAGCCCCTTGGGCAGGCCTGGGACAGGGCTGGGTCCTGGTAACAGGGACGCAGAGAGAGGGTGGCTGGGCAGCCAGCACTCGTGGGAACCATGTTTCTGATGGGCCCACCCTGGACAGCCCTGGGGTCCCTTTTGAGGGTGCGATTTGCTGGTGCAGTGAACCTTGGGACAGGGGACAGGGTGCCCAGAGTTGTGAGGGTCCTGGGTGGGAGGGGCCGTCTGAGGTGAGAGACCCCTTGTGACATGAGGCCTTGGGCCCAGTGATGCCACCAGGCAGTTTGCAGATGTGGGGGCCCTTTCCAAAGTGGAGAATGAAGGGTGTAGTCCCCTCCCCGCCCCTTCACGACAGAGGAAGATTGAGTGTGTCAGGCCCTGAGCTGGCACCCTGCACAGAGAAGGCCTGTGTGATCCTGAGTGTCAGTGGGGACTGGGAGGGGGAGGGGCCCTTGGGAAGGGAGCCAGGTGCCACCTGGTGGGCGGGGTGGCCTCACCCTCCATCTCTTCGGCGAAGCAGTACACATCATAGGTCTCATTGGTGTCTCGGATGCCATATGTCCTCACGCCAGGAAACTCATCCTTGTCTCCATAGCAGCCTTCCCGGGGCGTGTGGATGGGGTACCTGCCAGGAACCCAAAGCAGAGGTGTGACATTCAGCGAACAGAGGGAAGATCACGGCCTATGCCCTGAAATCCTCTTCCTTCATAGGAAAAAACAGAGGCTTCACGTTGCATTTTACAATGTCTGCTCTGAATCTGTGAACTGTCTCTCTGTTTTTATAGTTATTCACGATTAAACGCAGCCCCCTCTACTGAATATTTGGTGGTACCAAGTGCACTCTATCAGGGTCCCATAAATCTTTTCTATAAAAGGTCAGATAGGCTGGGCGTGGTGGCTCACACCTGTAATCCCGGCGCTTTGGGAGGCTGAGGTGGGAGCATTGCTTGAACCCAAGAGTTTGAGGCTGCAGTGAGCTATGATGGTGCCACTGCATGCCAGCCTGGGCAACAAGATCCTGTCTCTAAAAAAAAAAAAAAGAAAGCAGAAAAGAAAAAAGAAAAGGCCAGACCATAAATAGTTTAGGTTTTGTAGGCCATAGGGTCTCTGTGATGACCACTCAACTGCCACTGTAGCATGAAGCAACCACAGACAGTATATAAACAAATGGGTGTGGCTATGTTCAATAAAACTTTATTTACAGAAACAAGGGGTGGTTGGACGTGGCCCATGGCCTATGGTTTTTTAGCATTAACCTAATGAGCCAAGTGCTATAATGAATCTATTTTACACTTGAAGAAACTGGGGCTCAGAGATGTTAAATAATTTGTCCAAGGTCACACAGCTTCCAAGGGTTAGAGCTGGAATTTGAGTCCAACTCTTTCTGATGACAAGATGTGGGTTCTTAAACCATGTTAGACTGTTGTCTCATCTTGTTGCTTTAATAGTTAGTGGCTTTTGTGTCCTAAGATCTTTTGCCCACCCTATGACTGCATTGACATTTCCCTTTGTTTTCTTTGTTTTTTTTTTTTGAGTTGGAGTCTCACTTTGTCGCCCAGACTGGAGTGCAGTGGCCGCTCCCGGCCACCGCAGCCTCGACTTGCTGGGCTCCGGTGATCCTTCCGCCTCAGCCTTCCAAGTAGCTGGAATGACAGGCGCGCGCTACCATGCCCGGCTCATTTTTGATTTATTGTAGAGATGAGGTCTTGCCAAGTTGCCCAGGTGGGTCTCGAACCCGCAGGCTTAGGCAATCCACTCACCTCGGCCTCCCAAAGCACGGGATTACAGGCTGAGCCACCAAGCCTGGCTTCCCTTTGTTTTCTTCCTGAGGCTTTGTGGTTCTGGCCATTGCTGCTGGAGCTACAGTCCACCTGAAATGAGCTGTCTCATCTTGTCTCCACAGGCTCATGCACCATGTGCTGGGATTCCTTAAAGTCAGGGCTCTATCTGCTCTGATATTTCCCAGCGGCTACACTGGGGCTATACCAAGAAGCTTAATTTATGTCTTTCCTTATTCAAAACTAAAAGGTTGTAAGGTGGTTTACAAAAATATAGAAAACACTAAAGTTAAAAAACAAAAGCAGAAACAAAACCCAGTAACTGAGAAAATTGTAGTAAAGAAGAAAAATGGGTAGGAAAAATAATGCCGTGTAGAGTAAGGCTGCTAGGAACCACATACTCCGTTGCCAGAGCAAATAACAGGGATTTGTGTCGGGTCATTGAACGCCTTGTTGAGCACAGCATGGCCTTGACGCCTAACCTGGGCAGGCCATGGTGTCACGCTGACACCAGCTCGGTGCTGGTCAACATTCCACCCCATCACCTGGCCCACTGCCCTGTGGCCTCTGACCCTTGGCCTCCCAGCCCTGATGTCCACTCTGCAGGTGGCTAGGGCTCACCTGACGGTCTGGTCGGCCAGCCAGCCCGCGTCACACTGGTGGAAGCCATCCTCATAGGCGGCCTGCAGCTGCTCGGGTGTGGCGATGATGGCGCTGTTCTGCAGGCAGGCCCGCTGTGCCCTGTCGAAGTCGAGGGTGTAGCGTGTGGAGATGGCTCTGTAATGGAACACGATACCTGCAAGACATGTGCACACGGGCATCAGGCACAGTCTCCAATCGTTGAGGCCCCCACAGGATTGTGGCAATTGTCAAAGGGACCTTAGAACTGTCTGGTCCAGGCTGATGCCCGACTCCCCCTGTATATTTGCTGAGTTCACTGGAACACCCTGTAATGGGGAACTCACTTCCTCCCAAGGCATTCCTTTTTGAAGACTTAGGATAATTTCAATAATTGGAAAGTTCTTTGATTTGAACTGAAATCTGTCTCCTTATAATTTTTTCTTGTCACTCCAGGACCTCATATTTCTTTAGGGAAAGAGACACTCAGTGTCACCTGCAGCCTCAGCCCAGGGGCATTCTAGTAGGAGCTCTGTTTACGGGGCACCTAGGAGTGGACCGTCTTTGACGGTGTCTCCCACCTAGCTCTGGGAAATATAGGGTGCAGACCAAAGTCCCAAAGGTAAACAAGAAACCAACCGTTCTCCTTGGACTGTAGAGAGAGAGGAGACCAGAGAGTCTCCAGCCCTTTCTTTGGCTTTTGAAACTGAGAACGAGAGGAAGGGAAAAGGCACCTGGCAGAAGTGTCAGGAGACTGTTCGGACTCACTTCTAGGGTAACCTCAGGCAAGACTTAACCCCAGCTTGTGCTTGTCTGTAAGGTTGATCACAAGGCCCACAGAATCACAGGATTGTTGTGAAGAACTCACTGTCATTTATCCATGACCGTGGCCAGATAGTATTTAATTCTCCCAGAAGTTCAGAGAGAATAATATTACCAGCTCCATGTTACAGAAGAAGCCACTGAAGTGATGGAACTTGACTAAAATGCAAACAGGTGCCTGGAGGAGCAGCTTGAAAGCCAGCCTGTCTGTGCACGCACTGGTGAGGAGACCCTTCCGGCTCTTTCTGCGGATGAAGCAGCGTCCCAGCGGGAGGCTCTTACCTTTCACCACGACCTCGAGGGTGGCCTCGCTGTCCTCGATGCCATGCATCACCTCGCAGCGATAGACCCCAGAGTCATTGAAGCGCAGGCTCTGGATTTCCAAGGTGGCGTCGCTGGGGATCGCCGGGTAGTTGGGCAGCGAGACCTTGTCTTGGTAGGCGCTGTTGACCCGCACGCGTCCTTCGGTGGCCACCAGCAGGACCACTTCCTTCTCCTTGGAGAGGCGGCTCCACTTGATTCTCGGGGTGAGGGGGGCGGTGGAGGGGGCGGTGGTCACAGGGTGCATGGGGTCGATGAAGTAGCAGGGGATGGTGAGGGAGGCCCCCAGGAGGACCCTCAGTGGGGACGGCTGGGGGATGCTCACACTTAGCGAGTTGTCATGGTCTGTGTGGAAGGGGTGGGGTGGAGACAGACATGTTAGTGCCCAGAGAGAACCCCCCAGCCTCCCCGTCCATCCTTCTGGAAATGCCCTCTTCCGAGAGACTAAAAGCCAGCAAGTGTGTCTGTGTCTATGATGGGGACACTCTTGTGTTATATGGGGATTCCCAGGAAACCTTGCAACACTCCTCCCAGGGTGGCATTCCTCAAGACCTCTGGCCTCTGTGCCTCAAGACAGAAACTATGGAGTCAGAAAAGGGTTCGAGAGGAGGGCGGAGGAAACACTCTGTTTCTCAAACTGGGGTGCCCCGGGGGATGCCAAACCATGAGATAAATAGGTCTCATCTTCTTGAGGTGACAGATTAGCTCAAAGATTTTGGGAGAAATTATTTAGGGGTAGAAAAAAAATATTATGAGGTATAAGAATAATCTACACAACATTAAAGTGAGCACACAAAACTTCCAAAATATGTGCCATTTGGAGAGGTGTGCTTTGGGCTCTAGACTAACCTTGCAGGGGGACAAGTCATTCTCTTCTGCTGTTCGGGGGTTGAGGGACCCCAGGTGGAGAGGTAGCAGAGAAGATCAGACATCTTAGTTTGCAAAGAGTCAGATGAGGGGTAGGGGATGGAATAGGACTCGACACCGAAAAACTCAGTCGAAGTTATCTCCCTTAGACCCAGGCAAGAGAGGAGCAGATTGCTAGGGAAGGTGCAGTATGTTTACCCAATCCTGTTAGAAGAGAAAGATCTGCTTGGAATGGAAAAGAAACAGTGCCTCCTCCCCCAAATAGCATCTTTCATGGTGAATCATAAATGTATGAAACCCTTTCTGTCAGGAGAGCCTACAGGTTGAAATAAAAATGTTTCAGATATTTGTGGGTGGAAGGTACATAACAGAACAGGGAAAGAGGAGCCAGGACTGTCTGGAATCCAGCCTTGATCTTCTGAAGTCCAGGACAGTCCCCCAGCCCCTTCCACAGGCATCTTCCTTTCAATGTGTGGCCCTCGCACCCTCAGACATGGCTTGGCTAGCAGGGGTGGCTCTCAGGAGAGATCCAGTAGGGAATGTGGTACTCAACTTGGCAGTGTATAAAGCCTTCACACAACCCTAGTTACCACCCCAGGTACAGCCAGGGCCTGGATATCTGAGTCACTGAAACAGTACAAACGAAGGCCCATATGCCACATGCAAACGTTATCAATCAGGCCATAGATGGTTAAACACAATAGGTTCTGTCTTCCTACTAGAAAATTATACCTCTCAAAATGTACCACAAAGTCAGATTTCAATGTAGAATTCTTGGATTTCTACATTTGGATGTGGTGGCTGTGGGGAAGAGGGGGAGCAGGACCCCTAATTCCCCCCACTGGCTCCCACTGTGAGGGGGTCTCCCGCACACACTGTGCTTATTTCAGCCCACACATCCCAGCTCTGCCCAAACCCCATTCAAACGGCCACTCCCTAACCCTTCCCTAGGACCCAGGGGTGCCTTCCACTTAGGGGTGTGGTATCCTCGTAGGAGGATGGACCCATGCAGTCCCTCAACGTGGCTTGGGCCCACTTGGACAGGGATTGTTGGGCATCTTGGGTACCCAGAGTGTCTTCGAAAGGAGGAGTGCAGATCTGGGTGGACATGGCCCATGGGTGCTACAGACTCCTCTTTTGGGGAGAATTGAGGCTAGAGGAGGTCAGAGCAGGGTTCTCTCTTGCCTGGGTCTAAGGGAGATAACCTTGACTTTGGAGTCAAGCACCTCAAGGTCAGTGGAAGGTTTGTTTACTTGGTTCAGGGCTTGTCTAGCAGAACTGCAAGGGGGACCCAAAAAACTCCAAAATTTACTTATAAAAAATTGTGTTTTTAATCATACATGTTTACACTTCAATCAGCTTCAAAATACTCTCCATTTGATGCAATCCACCTATTGAGATGCTTTTCCCACTGCTCAAAACAGTTTTTGAACTTGTCAATTTGGATGCCTTTTAGTGCTCCTGCTGTTTTTTGTTTCACCTCTTCCATATTGGCAAAATATTTCCTTTTAAGAACTTTGTCTCATCCAGAGAAACAAAAAAAAAATTGCCCAGGGCGAGGTCAGGTGAATATGGAGGGTGGGGGATGGGAGTCATGACATTTTTGGTCAAAAACTGCTGAACATGCCAGGCGCAGTGCCTCATACCTATAATCCCAGCACTTGGGAGGCCAAGATGAGAGGATTGCCTGAGCCCACGGGTTCAAGATCAACCCGGGCAACTTGGTGAGGCCTCATCTCTACAATAAATCAAAAACTTAGCTGGGTGTGGTGGCATGTGCCTATAGTTCTAGCTACTTGGAAGGTTGAGGTGGAAAGACAGCCTGAACCCAGCAGGTCGAGGCTGTGGTGGCCGTTGAGCGTGCCACTGCACTCCAGCCTGGGAGACTAAAGTGAGACGCCAACTCAAAAAAACTCCCCTCTCAAAAAACTGCGGAACACTAAGCACAGTGTAGACAGGTGTGCTTATAAATGACCCATCATGAAATGGGCAAATGAGTTCAAAGAATCTCCAAAAAAAATTCACTGAAGCTGAGTGCAGCTTCTCACAACACTAACTGGTACTCTAATGCCAATGGGTTCCCAGAACACTTACCTAGTGAGAGAACCTGTACTACAAGGGGCCCACTCTCCAAAAAGTAATTCCACCTTTTTTGGGTCCCCTCTCATATACCTCTTGCCTGCTGTATGCCTGAGACCAGGCTGGGGACTTCCTGAAGGTAGTTTGCCAAAAAGCCAAAGACCTATCGATTCATGGGGGCATCTCTCAGACTACCTTCTCTTCTTTGTTGCCCCATCCTATCCTCCCAGGGCAGCTAATCTCTCCATTTGTTGGACTATGTTCTGCCCTTAGTCCAAGCTCACTATGCAGTCCTAGGTGAGATCCATGGAGAGAAGGATTCTGGGAAGGAGAACACTGCTGGGAGCTCTCCCTGCCAGCTGTCTGGGCTTGAGGGCAGCCAGGAGCAGTGTTATCTGAGCCAGGCTCCTGGATGTGTGTGTGTGCCTGCACATGGGTGCTCTCCCACTGTAGTTATGCTTGCACCCATAAGGGAGAGGCAGAAAAAAGGCCAGGAAAGGGGAAATTATATCCATGGGACTAGCAGCACCAGGTTCAGTACCCAGTATTCAGAACACAGTACTCAGGTCTATTGAATAAATGAGCCATGCATGAGAATTTCCTCACCTGAAACTTCTACTGAGAAGGCTGCAGCGATGACCCTCAGAGTCACAAAAACCAAGAGTAAAGTGGTCATAGTTCACCTGGAAGAAGGGAGGCAGAGGCATTATTGGGCATGGTGAGGTCAAGGAGGGTCAAGTGACATTCAACACAAGGCAATAACTCTATACTCAAGGATCTCAAATCACATCCAGATAAGAAGGCTGCATGTGGTTTGTGAGACATTTTTCCCAAGAATCCTTTCCTCATAAAACCTTCCCAGATTTCTCAGTTTAATTCCAGGCATCAGGCTGATAAAACTCAACTTCCACCTTTCAGCCAGTGAAGGCTCATCCTAACGAACTCCTATGATGGCTAATTTTATGTGTCAACTTGACTGGGCCACAGGGTGCCCAGATATTTGGTCAGAAATGGTCTGGGTGTGTCTATGAGTGGGTTTCTGGGTGAGATCAACATTTGAATCGGTAGACTGAGTAAAATGGATTGCCCTCCCTAATGTGGGTGGGCCTTATCCAATCAGATGAAAGCCAGAATAGAACAAAAGGCTGATCCCCCCTTGGAATTCTTCCTGCCTCATGGCCTTTGAACTAGGACATTGCTTTTTCCTTCTTTTGGACTTGAACTGAAACACCAGCTCTTTCTGGGTCTCAAGTCTATCAGCCTTCAAACTGAAATGACCCCATCGATTCTCCTGGGCCTCAAGACTTCAAACTTGGACTAGAACTACAGCACTAGCTCTCTTGGGTATCCAGTTTACCAATTCATCCTGAAGATCTCGGAACTTGCCAGTCCCTCTAATTGCATGAGCCAATTCCTAATAAGGAATCTCTTTCTGTCTCTCATATATACACGTGTGTGTGTGTGTGTGTGTGTGTGTGTGTGTGTGTGTGTTTGTGTGTTTATATCTCCTGTTGGTCTGTTTCTGAGAGAATCTTGACTAATACAATCCTCCAGGCCCCGAGAAAAGTTGAGTTACCCAAACCTTGCTAATAAAAGCTAGGCCCGCCATCAACTTTAAATCCAGGGATCTTGTGTGTTTTAGAATGGACTATGCATCAAGGTTTCAGGCAAGATTCAGGGTCCTGGTTCAAGTCAGGGAGGGAATTCCCATCACCTAGAGAGAGTTCTTTTTTTTTTTCCTCTATTGAAGCATTTTGCATCCCTAGGAAAAGAATCCCAATATTTTCCCTCCTGTGTGTTTCCATCTTGCTTCTCTGTGGTCCATGATGCCAGCTGAGGCTGTCAGTACAATGAAACCAGATTGGTGGGATGGGAGCAGTTTATTCTGCCATTTTTCTAGATCTTTGAGTTGTACATCAAATGTGGGGTTGATCAAGCCACACTTGTTTAACCTGTCTGTGAGGTTTACAACAATTTTTCCTGCTTTGTGATCAATGATTTCAGATTTGCCAGTGTAACCATACTTCGTCCTCATAGTTAGAACTCAGACAATGACTTTGGAGCATGATCTGATAAGAACCTGGTGTCTGAGTCTCTATTTGGCATTGTTGATGCTCTTGAGAGCATCAGCCAGGACATTCATGTGCACTTCGATGGTGGCACGGAAAGATGGTGGAAAGCCACCTAGAGAGTTCTTGAGGAGGCTGTGAGATGAACAGATGAGTAATTTAGGAAAAAAGTGGGGCCTAGGATCCCTGTAGCCTTCAGCTGGCTCAAACGATGAGTTCATGTGAATTAGAAAAACATGACTTTCTTATTGTCATCTGCTGGAAAGCTGTCACGATAAGTTTGTCACAAATCTGTGACCACCACCACATAAAGGGCATCCCCTGCATAGTTGGGACCCTGACTCCAGTTGGGCCCCCGACTCCAGCACAGGTAGACTCAAGAAGTCCCAACTGAATGTATTTGTTTTTTTTTGTTTGTTTGTTTTTGTTTTTGAGTTGGAGTCTCACTTGGTCGCCCAGACTGGAGTGCAGTGGCCGCTCCCGGCCACCGCAGCCTCGACCTGCTGGGCTCCGGCGATCCTTCCGCCTCAGCCTTCTGAGTAGCCGGAATTACAGGCATGTGCTACCACGCCCGGCTGATTTTTTGATTTATTGCAGAGATGAGGTCTCGCTGCTCAGGCGGGTCTCGAACCCGTGGGCTCAGGCAATCCACTCACCTCGGCCTCCCAAAGGCGCGGGTCCCAACTGAATTTATAGGAGATCACCCAGAGCAGTGGTGCTCTACCTCAGCTGCACATTGAAACCATCTGCCCTTCAGTCTTGACCTCAGGACCTTTTAAAGCTTCCCAGAAGTCTAAGGTGAAGCCAAGACAGCACTGCTGGCCTATATGGTGTGTCTAGGGCACCTCCTGGGACTTGCACTCCATGACACATGCCTAGTGATGTTCCCCCAGTTGTGAACCTGCATGGGCACCTACCTTACCTTCCTTCTAGTCAGTGAGCACTGACTTTTGGTTTAAGAGGTGTTTTTGGTTTTGCTTTTTTTTTTTTAGGATTGCCCAGGCTGCAGTACAGTGACATGATCACGGTTCATTGTAGCCTCAACCTCCTGGGCTCAGGTAATCCTCTCACCTCAATCTCCCAAGTAGCTGGGACTACAAGCACATGCCCCCATGCAGGCCTGGCTGATTTTTTATTTTTTATTTTTTGGTAGAGACGGGTCCTCCTATGTTGCCCAGGCTGATCTCCAACTCCTGGGCTCAAGATCCTTCTGCCATGGCCTCCCAAAGTGCTGAAACGACAGACATGAGCCACAGCACCCAGCCTGAGGGGTGTTTGCATCACAAAGAGGGAAGCCCTTGGAGAGATGGAGGACCTGGAACTAAAGAAAAGGTGGCGCTGTCAGAGGCTGAGGCAGTGCCCTTGGGCTTCTCCAACCTCAGCTCTGTCAGAGTCTGATGGCCCAGCAGGTGTCGCTCTTGGCTCAGTCACCATCGGCTGAGGCTAATTGAATTTTGGGTTGAGGGAGCACCCCAAGAGCCCCTGGGCCCAGGAGGGGTACAGGCTGGGGGCACTGGTGTTCCTATCGGAAACCATCTGGGGTGTGGGCATGGGCAGCGCAGGCCCAGGATGTTGGGTGACCCTTTCCTGCCTGTTTGAGTGTGGCATCTTTCTACCACCTAAGCTTCACTCATGCCACATATACTGTTCACCCAAGAAATGAAAGGGCTGTCTGTGTGAGTGCCACTGAGGGCATAGGGATGAATGCGTGAGCCACGTCGCCCTCACCCTGGAGGAAGTCTGGAAAATCCCAAAGTTCTGAGAAGCAAGTCCTTGTTTCTCCTTAGGGATTTTTCTACTTAGATGTTGCCTTTAAAAAAAAGGTCTCGGGCTCCAGGTCTGGCGTAGTGAGAGGCCGCTGAGGTGTGAAGCTCTGGTTCAAGCCCTGTGTGACTGGGAAATAGTTCCCCAGAGGTTAGAGGGTAAGGTGTCCTCTCCATGCTGTGGAGGGGCCTGGACCTGTGGGCCCCTCTCTTCCCAGAGCCTCAGGGATTCATTTTCAGACACAAGGCCTGCTGTTCTTCTCTCAGAACACCCTTCATTGGGAAGTTTTGTGTATGTTTTCGGAGCTGTGTTTCTTGCCTCACTCTCTGAACAAACTGGACATTGTCCGGGGATGCAGGAGTTCTCTGTGGGCTTGGACGGCTCTGTTTTTCTCCCTGGCCTAGACCAGGAAATGAGAAGGAATGAAAGAGGGGGTGAGGATAGGGATGGGGTGGAGTGAGCAGAGAAACTAATTTTATTTCTTCATCTTTTTTAAAAGACAAACTTTGGGATAGAAATATCGCAATAAATATGCTCTTGTGTTTGTGTGTGTTTTCTCAGCCGTAAAGAAAATAGGGAGAAATTCCATTCTGTCTGGCTTCCAAGTGTCTCCAGGACTCACTGAGTCTTTTATGTGAGGAGACCGATTTTGCCAGCCCAAGTCCTAGCACAGCTCTGTCTACAGGGAGGCCTTTCTCCATGGGGATCAAAATTAGGTGGTGACAAGGGGGACTGCATGGCTGGGGCAGAGGAAGAGGGCAGAGGAGCCTGAAACGAAGTAGAAAGAGGAGTCTGAGGAGTAGGAAGTAGATGCTAGGGAAGATGGGTGAGAGCCATGTGTGTTGGGTTGATCCTTCAGGAATCGGTTTTCTCGTAGGGAATTATTAGGAGATTTGACAGGGGTAAGTAAAGTTCTGTGAACCTGAGTTGAGGTTGTGTGTGTGTGCACACGTGTGTTCTGCAGCTGGAGACAGGAAAACCCTTCACCTCCAGCTAGACTCCATCCCTTGGTTGTTCCCTGGCCAAGGATTCCTCTTCCAGCACCATGTACAGTGGAGGCTCTCAGACCTGGATCCCAGTCCTGGCTGGCCACCTACTGCTTAGTCATATAGGACCCGCCCCATGGCTATTTCAAAGATGGAGTGAGACAGGGTGACAGCCACCTTCCCTCCCCCAGGCCAGGTACAGTGTCTCTGGCTTTGCACCCAGCATGGAGCTGGACACTCAGCAGGCATCCATCAATACTCCTACCTCCCTGATCGTCAGGCCTCAGGGAGTCTCTCAGAATTTGGGGATTAGAGGAGAGTTTAGTCGTTATAGGGAGGCTACCTGTGCTGGGGTGAGGGCTGGACTAGATGACTTTTTATAAATAACAAAACTGCTTTCATTTCAAAAACAACATTACTACACTACCAAACATTTGGCAAAGAGGGAAAAGCAGGAAAAAAATTACCATCATCCCCAATCCTAAGCCAACCATTATTAGTGTTTTGATAGTTTTCCTTCTAGTCTTTTTCCTCGGGCATCTACCTGTGTTTTTTGTAATCTTTTTGCATCCTATTTGCCTTTTCCATATACCACAATGAACCAAATGACTTTTTGCTGTTGTTGCTCCTTCAGAAATGATGCTCATGGTGCTTTACAATCATGACCTCCCTGCCAGGGGTCCTGTCTATGTGGCCTTGGTAGGTGGTCTTCAGCCTCTGATTAAATGGCAGGTGCTCATTCCTTCACAGAGTGACCCATTCCTATGACTGAGCAGCTCTAATTGTTTCAAGATCCTTCAAGGTGGAGTCAGAGGCCAGGCATGGTGGCTTATGCCGCTAATCCTAGCACTTTGGGAGGCTGAG